GTCTGTCACATCAGGGCTCACATCACATTAAACATCTTTTGAAATTTAATTTAACAGCTTTTAACTAGTTCCATGTTGGAGACCAATCCAAAGAGGGGCTACTACTTTTTTTAAAAATATATTTTATTGATTTTTACAGAGAAGAAGGGAGAGGGATAGAGAGTTAGAAACATCGATGGGAGAGAAACATCGATCAGCTGCCTCCTGCACACCCCCTACTGGGGGATGTGCCTGCAACCAAGGTACATGCCCTTGACCGGAATCGAACCTGGGACCCTTCAGTCCGCAGGCCGAGGCTCTATCCACTGAGCCAAACCGGTTAGGGCGAGGGGGGCTACTTCTTATTCTTAGTTCAGCCCAAATCTTTCAGTGTGTGTCCAAGTGAACTGTGAAATCCCTCCTCTCTATTTCATGCCTGTGGGTCTGTCTTCTATACATGGATGCACCCACCTCTTCTCTCCTAACTCCAAGGCTGTTGCCATGACATGAAGGTCTAAAAATAATAAATGTGAGAAAGCCCTCAGGATAAAAACTCTGGGTCACAATCCATAAAATGAGTAAATCTAAAGAACTGAGACCAGTGTTTTTAAAAAATAAAATAGAGCATATCTCACATAAAAGTACAGTACTATTTTGTAAAACCAGTATTGTGTGCACAAGTACATGAGTCATACTGTAAAATGGATTTCTTTCTATGCATTAGGCTGGGGGAAAATGAGAAAGCCACAGAAACAGAAAGAAATGTACAATTTCCTAAAGAACAAGCTTTCCCCCTCTCTAGGAAAGGCTTCATGACAAAGCCCAATGAATAGTAGCACAACTCCATCTCCAGGGTTTCTGAAGATATCCCATAACCTTCAGGGAGCTCCAACTTCTGCACAGGCAACATAGGTGCACTGCATGGCAGATATGACTCTGACTGCCTAGAACAGGGAAGGATGTGGAATGAATGAGAAAGGTTGTGTAGTACCACATTTAACAACTTTTTTAAACTAAGTAATTTCTGAGTAAGTTATCAACAGATGAAATGTGGCATACTAAATTTTCACAGGGTGCAGTTTTTAAAAACATAATTTTTTTCTTTTTTTTATTGATTTTAGAGTGAGGAGGAGAGAGATTGATCGGTTGCCTCCACACGTGCCCCGACTAGGAACTGAACTGCAACCTGGGCATGTGCCCTGACCTGGAAATCAAACCCACCACCATTTGGTGCATAAGACTACGCTCCAACCAACCGAGCCACACTAGTCAGGGCTTCACATAGTGCGATTTTAAAGAAATATTATTACTGCTCTGGCTGGTGTGGCTCACTTGGTTGGAGCTTCCTTCCATGCACCAAAAGGTCAGCAGTTTGATCCCCAGTAAGGACACACGCCCAGGTTTCGGGTGCAGTCCCTGGGGTCAGGGTGCATACAGGAGGCACCAATCCATGTTTCTCTCACATTGATGCTTTTATCTCTCCTCCCCACCCCCACCCCGCTTCCTTCCTCTCTCTCTAGAATCAATAAAAAACATATTAAGCCCTAACCGGTTTGGCTCAGTGGATAGAGCCTCGACCTGCAGACTCAAGGGTCCCAGGTTCGATTCTGGTCAAGGGCATGTACTTTGGTTGCGGGCACATACCCATTAGGGAATGTGCAGGAGGCAGCTGATCGATGTTTCTCTCTCATCGATGTTTCTAACTCTCTATCCCTCTCCCTTCCTCTCTGTAAAAAATCAATAAAATATATTTTTTTAAAAACATATATTATTGCCCAGCCAGTGAGGCTCAGTGGTTGAATGTCAACCAATGAAACAGAAGGTCACAGTTCAATTCCTGGTCAGGGCACATGCCCAGGTTTCAAGCTCAATCCCCAGTAGGAAGCGTACAGGAGAATCAATGATTTTCTCTTATCATTGACTAGTGGCCCAGTGCACGAAATTCATGCACGGGGGTGTGTGACCCTCAGTCCGGCCTGCACCCTCTCCAATCTGGGACCCCTCAATGGATGTCCGACTGCCTGTGGGATCGGGCCTAAACCGGCAGTCGGACATCCCTCTCGCAATCCGGGACTGCTGGCTCCTAACCGCTCACCTGCCTGCCTGCCTGATCACCCCTAACCACTCAGCCTGCCAAACCTGCTTGCCTCCAACTGCCCCCCCCCCCCCCCGGTGGGTGGGGTGGCCACAAAATTCACCGCCCCGCCCGTGCGGTAAAAAAAAAATAAAATAAGTATTTATTTTTTTCCCCCCCCCCGGGGGGGTGTTATAA